AGCAGCAGGAGACGACAGCAGCTTCGATGTTGATGGCTTCGCGCTGCAGCAGCAAACTGCTGCTCCTCTTTCTTCTTTTTCTTTAGATCCTTTTGCTCATAGGCAGCAGCAGCAGCAGCAGAGCCCTCGCAGCAGCAGCAGCAGCAACAGCGACAGCAGACAGAGCAGCAGGAGCCGGAGCGGCAGCACGGACTGCAGCAGCAACAGCAGCAGCAACGGCAGCAGCAGCAACGGCAAGGCTCTCTCCTTCTTAGTAGATGGCATGTTATGCATGCGCAGCACGAGGTGTACAGACAGCAGCAGAGCTGACGGTGGCTGCAGCAACAGCTGCTGCTTCTTTCCTGTTGCTGCTGCTAACAGCAGCAGCCGCAGCAGCAGCAGCAGCAGCTCCTCCCGTTGCGGCTTCCTTCTGTCTTTTATTCGTTTGCGCTGCTGCAGCAGACAGGGAGCAGCAAACTCCTCGCTGCTGCTGTGGGGCAAGGCGCTGCTGCTGCTGCTTGCTGCTGCTGTAGTTGCTGCTGTGTCTCAGCTAGCCTTAGAAGCAGTTTCCAAGCAGCAGCAGCAGCAACTGCAGCAGCAACTGCAGCAGCAACTACAGCAGCAGCAGCAGCAGCAGCAGATGCTGCCTATGAAGGGTACTGAATGGACACCATACCAGCTAGCAAGCGATTTGCTGCTGCTGCTGCTGCTGCTGCTTAGCTGCTGGCGTTGGCAGCAACTGCAGCGGGAGATTCGTGCTGCTGTGCTGCTGCGGTTCTGCTGCTGCTTGCTGCTTGGTTTGCTGCTGCGTTTGCTGCTGGGTATCTCCTTGAATAGTATGTATATACGTCGTGACCTTTTCCTGCTGCAGCAGCAGCACCCCATCAGCAGCAGCAGCAGCAGCAGCAGCAGCCTGGATACCATCATCAACAACAACAACAACAACATCAACAGCAGCAACAGCAGCAGCAGCAGCAGCAGCAGCGGCAGGTTAGATAATTTGCTGCTAGGTATAAGATATATACTAGGTTGCTGCCTAGAGGAAGCAGCAGATGCAGCACCAGCATATAATTGTCTCCTTTCTTCTTATTTATTTATTTTTTGCTGCCTATACACCTGGTGTATAAGGAGACAGTTGCTGCTGCTGTATATGCTGCTGCAGTTGCTGCTGTCTGCTGCTATATTTGCTGCTATCTGCTGCTGCACTGTATATGCAGGTTATAGATCTTCCTTAGATTGGATACTTTCTTTTGCTGCTGCTGCTTGCTGCTGCTGCTCCTATCATCTGCTGCTGCATGCAGCAGCAAAATATTTATTTAATAAACTAAGGGCACAAATACAAACTAAGGAATATATGCTGCAGCAACTCCTGCTGCACTTTCTGCAGCAGCAACAGCAGCAGCAGCAGCAGCAGCAGCAATACAACGACCATCAAGTTATTGTGCTGCAGCACCTACCCAAGAAGCAGCAGCACAAAAAGAAGAAGAAGCATGCAGCAGCAGCAGCAGCAGCAGCAGCAGCAGCAGGAAAAGACGGCAAAATAAGATCAGCAGCACCACCATCCATAGGAACAACAACAACAGCAGCAGCAACAGCAGCAACAGCAACAGCAGCAGCAGCAGCAGCAGCAGCAGCAGCAGCAGATAATTGTTGGTTAAATAATATATATATATTTATATTAAGAATTGAATTAACAGAGAAAAGAGTTTTAGATCTGCTGCTCCCTTCTCTCTATTTGCTGCAGCGCAGCAGCAGCAGGACACCCCTGCAGCAGCAGCAGCAGCAGCAGCAGCACCATCAGCAGCAACAACTGCAGCAATTGCAGCAACTGCAGCAACTGCAGCAACTGCAGCAGCGTAAGCTGCACAGACAAGACTCTGATGACGGACTACCAGTAGCTACAAGGCTCCCCTTTGGCTCAGCAGCAGCAGCAGCAGCAGCAGAAGCAGCAGCAGGAGAGGAGCAGCAACCTTTGTTAGATGATCAGCAACTGTGGGCAGCAATCTGCCGCTGCTGCTTTGCTGATACAGCAGCAGCAGCAGCAGCAGCAAACAGCAGAGGTGTGGGGTTTAGGAGGGCTCTGCGGTGTATGTACACTGCAAGTACTGATGAAGAGGATGCAGCAGCACCTGCAGCAAATGCTGCAGCAGCAGCAGCAGCAAACGCAACCAAGCTGTAATAGTAGCAGCAGCAGCAGCTGCTGCTGCTGCATAGACAGCAGCAGCAGCAGCAGCAGCAGATGCAGCAGTAGTACTTCAGGAGGAAGCATCTGCTGCTGTTTATGCAGAATTGGCTCTTGTGGCTACCAGCAGCAGCAATAGCTGCTGCTGTTGTTGCTGCTGCTGCTGCAGCAGATTTGCTGCTGCAGCAGCAGCAGCAGCAAGGAGGGGATGAATTTAGATGGGGAAAGTATAGGCAGATAAATAGAGGGAAGTATATTATAGCATTATTCGTGCTGCTGCTGCTTCTTCTTCTGCAGCAGCAGCAGCTGCAGCAACAGCAGCAGCAGCAGTACCCGCAGCAACGGCAGCAGCAGCAGCAGCAGCAGCAGCAGCAGGAAGCCTGTTATGATTTTT